GGGCGCAGCCCGAGCCCGCGGCTCACGGATCGGGCGTGAAACGCTGGCTACAGTGCAGCTAAAACCTGGTTACGGTGTAGCTGTAGATTTCACCGCCATCCGCCCAGAGCTGCTGAGGAACAAAGATGCTGCAGCACAAACCCTGCGGAAAGGCTTTCGGCTTCCCCCGCGGCGAACAGAGGTCACTGCTGGAGTGGCCACATCTCAAGGCAACAGGCTTTGCTTTTCCCTTGACTGCGGGTCTGCAGGGCAGCCACAGATGACCTCTGTCCTCTCTTCGTGACCTTCTCTCCCATTTTCTTTGCTTTGACTGTAATTCAGAACCACAACCTCATCCACCTGTAACAGCCTTTTAGCTCCAGGACAGGCTGTCAGGCTCTTCAGGGGAATAACACAGCAAAAGGCCCCTCCCTCCACATCAGCCAAAGGTCCAGCTTGTCACTGCCCCGTGTTATGGCAAAATGCAAAAGCTCTTTATTAAAAAACTCAATATAAAAAAAATCATGCATACAAACCAATCACTCCACACAGAAACTTTCATTTTCCAGCTGTCCTTCAAAATATGTGCTGCAAGATCATTGTTCCCACCGCAGACTCACTGGCATTCTCCAGCAAGGACTTGTGCCAGCAAGAGAAGAACCACCTTCTCCTCTTTGTGCTCTGAGAACCAACTCCCCAGGGCCAAGCCAGAAGCATCGCTGCTCTCCAGGGTAAGGCCACAGCACTCAGCTCCAGGGGCCTGAGGAGCCAGGAGGACAGTTTTGCCATTTCTCGTGGTGAAATTAAATCCTGTTGCATATTGGCCACAACATCTTCAGCCAAGAGCTGCAGTTCACACTGAAGAAGCACAGATGCTGACCCCTAAGTGCCCACAGTCAGTGCTGTAGAGAATCATGGCCAAAGCTTGGCTGTCCCACCAGAACATGGACAGCACTGCAGGTGGGGAAGATCTGGTGTTTCCAGTAGTTTCAGGACCCCATGAGCAAAGCAAATGCCTCCTGCCCACAAGGGCCTGTGAACGCTGCTGTCACCTTTTATCAGGTTTCTCTGTGAACAGCCCTGGCATCCAAACAAATGCTGCAGAAGGACCCTGCCAAGGAACATACAGCCCCCCCAGTAACAACAGGGTGTGCCAACAGGCTGGTGCTGTGTAGAAGGACACAGAAAGTACTCCAAATGCTGTGGCAGCACAGGGAAAGGGCTTTCACATCACGGACTCAGACCCACAAACATGGATGGTTGTCTCCTCCTTTCCTTTATATGCTCAGGAGCAAGATTTCTGAAGGGCAAGAGCAATTGCCTGTGTTTCCAAGCCTTCGTGTCACCCTGCTCTGATAAAACTGTCCCATTTAGGAAGAAGGGGCTGTACCTGAGTTGCTCACCTTCTCCTGACAGCAGGTATTTGGATCCTTTAAGCCACAGTCATTTCCTAGAACTGTGGGTTCCCAAGGGGGATCCCTGCACATATGCCATGATGGCATTCTGCAAGAAACTTGCTCGCTGGGCCTCCTCTTCCCTCATCCTGGAGATCTCAGCCTCTTTCATTCTCAGCTTCTCCAGCAGCAGAGACATCTCACCCTCTTTGTCCAGCAGTGCCTCACGATGATTATTTGATAGGGCTGTGAAAGAGCAGCATTAGCAAAGAAAATTAGGGGGTCCCGAGAATAAGTAGGAACACATTACAGGCACAGCCAAAGGCAATGCAAGAGGAATGGTCAACAGGCACATGAGAGAAGCTGCATGAGACATGAGAGATTTTGCACAGACAGCATGTTACACTTCACTGTGCAGGAAATCCAAACATTTTGCTTGCTGTGCAGCTTTGGGTAGTTATATGAGTCTTGGTCTCTATAAAATGAGGACAAGAATCCCTGCAAATACACCAGGATGGAGAGTACAATTCACAGGTGTATGCACAGGCAGAAAGCACCATTGCCACTACCTGTGAGCATAGCTCAGTTCCAGGCCCAGTACAGGGTAACCCAGAATTACCACTTGAGAAACATGAAAGGATCCATCACCTTTCAGCTGCCTCTCCAGAGCTGCAATCTTCTCTCTCAGCCCGTCCTGTGCTGTGCGTTCAGCCTGCAGGTGCCCAATCTGCTCCTGTAATTCCACTTTCACCTTATTCACCTCTGTCACTTTCTCCTCTTCCTTACGGTTCAGGTCCTGATACACAAAGACAAATCCATAAACAACCAAACAACTTCTGCAACTTGTTCTGCCCCTGTGGTGACCATCTCTCTCCTTCAGTCCAAATTACCTGCTGAAGTTCCTCCAGCCGCCTCCTCAGTCCATCAGCTTGCATGCTGCACTGTTTGGCTCTGGCCTGGGCCTCAGCAACCATTTCTTTTTGCTTAAGGCAGCAGTTCTGAGCTTCATCCCGTGACTCAGTCATCAGCCGCAGCTTCTCTTCTAGGTGTTCTAGTCGTTGCTGCTATAAGACACAAAGGAAAACACAAATAGCATCAGTCCCACTCCATTCCTGTGAAGGAATTCTCCCCTTTTTGTTCCTAACAGAATGAACCCTTGGTCGAGCCAACTGGCACTGAAGAACAAGTTCTGGATCACAGGACATGGCCATAACATGCTCCTTGCATTCAGGAGTGACCCCAAGCTGCTTCCTCTTGCCAGTGAGGACACTGATGGAGACCCTGAAACAGCCAACTGAGTCGCTGAGTAACAGGAGCAGGTCCTTGCAGAAGAACCAATGCCACCTCTAGTGCTCACAACCAATGCTCTACCGTCACTTCCTCCATACCCCAAGTGGCTCTGAGGCACCACTGTATGCAGCTCAGCAACTGCTGGACCCCACACATCAGCTTTCCTATGTCTGTAACTCAGAGAAGCATTTGCTTTTGTGATATTACATATAAGTAAATATTCTAATAGTTTTTGTGTATTTTCCTCATCCCTTGTTCTCTTTCACAGGATGTTAACCTCATCACCACTTTCACAAAGTTCAAGTCTACAGTGACTTTATCTATCCAGCAGCAATAGCCACTTGCAGAAATTCCTCTGAGTGCAGAGAAGCAGGAGCACCCCATGAAAGCTGCCGTTAAACAGAAGGATCAACATCTGTTGGATTCAGAAGCTAGCAACTTGAATTAAATCTGCTGTGACAATATCCAACATCAGTTCTGTTCCTCCTAAAGACAGTTCAAAGCAGACTTTTCAGGGTTCCTTCCTCAGCAATCACACCATCTGCAGGCCAGTGAAACCCAGAGAGGGGAGTTTCTTAGCAGTTCCTCAAGACAAAACCATAGGCTAGGTAGTCAAATCACCTCCTTCCCACAAGGAAGGTCTTGTCCTTACCTCCTCCAAGCGTGCCTGGCTTCGGACTTTCATTAACTCCTCCTCTGCCTGGCCTCGCTCAGCGAGTGCAGCTGCTTTGACTTGGCTCAGCTCCTGCCACAGAAACAGGGAAGATCATTCCAGACAGAGAAGCTGCATCACTGCAACACTGACCAGAAAACATCATCAGTTTCCAGTCACAGGCTGCAACATGACACAGCTCTCCCTCTCATTCAGGGGCAGCAAAAGCAAACCCAGATGACAAAGCTTTTCTCACTCCAAGACTGCCATCTAAATTCAATCAGAATTTCAGTTGTAGTAGGGCAAATAATGGGTAAAGCCTTCCAAAACAAAGGAATAGGAGAGGGCAGTGCTGAATGCAGTGGGGAAATAGACAGAAATATGCTACACTACTTGGGACCACATGGGAAACCTGTGAAGTCAAACCTTAGTAAGACAAACAATATTCAATGGAACTTTTATTTTTGTTTGATCTGAATTTACAAGTTTCTCCTTGGAACCCTCTCCTTCCTGAAGTCCAAAGCACTAAAAGTAATTTTATCCAGTATGCTGCTGTTTTCTGTTCTTCCCTACAGCACATGACAACCTTTACAGAGGTCAGCAATGGGAGACTCCACAAAGCTCCCCTGGCAGCCTTCTCTTGCCACCACTACCCGAGCACTCCACTGTGCCTGGAGCAGCCTTTCTCACCTCCTCCAGAGATATCCTGATGGCCTCCAGCCTCTGGATCCTGTCCTGCATGGAACGTTCACTGGCCTCAATGTGCTGTGTCATATGATCCACCTGCAAAGCAGTAGAAAGCATTTAAGGAAGTGCCAGAAAACATTCCCACCTCTAGGCACAGCAACAGGGCCATTTGTCAAGAGAAGGAAGCATCCTCTCATTGACCCACCTACCACCACCAAACAACTCTTACCTCTCCCAGAGCTCCAGTAGCAAACTGTAATACAGATAGAATCTGCCCTCTAGAAACTGAGAGCTTTTAGACAGAGATCCCTCCCAGGTCATGAGCAAAGAGACTCCAAGCTCTCATTGTCAAGTGGTATGAAACATCACACATTTTCTAGCTGTAATGTGGCTGAAACCTTCCTGCCCTGTGTCTTTTCATAAGAATTCATCTTCAGAGAAATCTATTGGTACAATTTTATTTTTGAGAGATTTCACCCCTCTTTAAATACACCAAACAGAATTGATCATAGCCTCTGTCCACACTCAGACACAGTCCCCCTTGAAACACAACAAAGGAAAAACTAGCAAGATGAGCCCCGTTAAGGGACTGGCCATGTACAGCACATGTGTCTCCATTTCCTGTGTTACAGCATCTTGATTTCTGAGAGCAGGACAAGACTGCTTACTCAGAACTCTGTGCATAGCAAGAGCAACACAAGGGCCAACCTCTCCTGTAGCATCACATACTACTCAGGCCCACACTCTTGCAAGCCACAAAATCTTACTAGTTGGTAGAACATCTTGTGACCTCTTCAGCCAGGCTTCGCTTGAAGAAATGGCCCATTATTCCCACAGTAAGTCTGAGTCCACGAGTTTTGTTAACTCTTTTAAGGGCACCTGACAGCAACGACCTCCAGTGGTGCCTGTATGTCAGGACCAAAGAAAGACTAACCTCAGGATGGGGCAGAAACCCCATCCTTACCTCTTTTACCCGAAGGGATTCCATGTCTTCAAGGCTTTGTTTAAATCTTCTCTTCTCCATTTCCAGACGTTCTGCAGACCAAAAGCAGAAATATCACAATTCTGGCAATCCTGCCACACAGGCTATATTCATATTTTATCACACACTCTGCCACCCTTTCTCCTCAGCTTCCACTGATTCATGGGCAGTGATCCCAAGCACAGATTCCATGAGTTGTTTCTGCCCCTCCACTCACCCTCGGCCTGCACAGCCCGCAGCTTCAGCTCTGCTGTTGTGTTGGTCAAGTCTTGTTTTACCTGGAACAGCTGATCCTGCT